TGAGCAGGACAACTATTACAGCAACTCTGCTTCGAAGGGTCCTGAGCAGGACAACTATTACAGCAACTCTGCTTCGAAGGGTCCTGAGCAGGACAACTATTACAGCAACTCTGCTTCGGAGGGTCCTGAGCAGGACAACTATTACAGCAACTCTGCTTCGAAGGGTCCTGAGCAGGACAACTATTACAGCAACTCTGCTTCGGAGGGTCCTGAGCAGGACAACTATTACAGCAACTCTGCTTCGAAGGATCCTGCTCTTACTCAGAAGAAGTATTACTCTGCTCTTGCTCAGAACAACAGGAGCTCCTGTGCTTCGAAGTATCCTCCTCTTGACAACTATTACGGGAGCCCCTCTGCTTTGGAGCAAAATCCTGCTCAACAGGACAACTATAATTCCAGCAACTCTGCTTTGCCTTTGGAGGGTCCACCTGAGCAGGACAACTATTACAGCTCTGCTTTGGAGCAAGAAGGCCATTACTCGGCAGCTTTGGAGGAAGGCAGAGAATATTGCTATGCTTCTCAAGGACCTCCTGCTCGTCCAGCAGGCTTTCAACTACCTCGACCAAAACAAGGAAAACACACGAGAACTGCGGGTGCTGCCGGAATTGCACTCCCTGGAAGAAGTGCTTCTCCTGTTTTCAAGTATTGTTCCCAAGATGAAGCTGGAACCCAAGATGAAGATGGAAAGCAACAACAAGAGTCTCGACGTCGTGAATGTGCCCCCGGCGGTGTCGGTTCCGCTGGTGGTGCTCGTACTGGTACAACTGCTTCAAGAAGTGGAACAAGTTCTTCAACATGTAGAACTACTTCGTGGATCCCGCCTGTATGTAGCTCCCTGCAATGGATCTCGCCTGTGGATCCTGCGAGGATCCTTCCCGAAGTTCCACCATTGCCCAACCTACCCGAAGTTCCACCATTGCCCAACCTAGACGAAGCTGCACCATTGCCCAAACGAGACGAAGCTGCACCATTGCCCAACCTACCCGAAGTTCCACCATTGCCCAACCTACCCGAAGTTCCACCATTGCCTTAAGACCACTCCAATGGACAGAGAACGACGACAAGACCGGCGTTATTCGTCACATGGAAAAACAGGACCGCGGGAACGACCTCAGCTTCAACATCGAGGACACAAGGCGTACCGGTACGATCGAAGCGGATTCCTAGAACGACCTCAGCTTCAACATCAAGGACACACGTCGTACAGGGCGGGGTACGATCTTGGAATAAACATGCAAGCGTCCGAGATGATCAAAAAAACGCCTCTACTAGGAGAACGTCGAGACCGCCATCCTCTCCAAGAACCGCGACTCGTAGAGGATGTGCCGCGACCTACTACAACAGGAGAAAATGGGAATTTCGATGTTCCTTCTGATGAAGTAGAAGATGCAGAGTTGATGTTGAGGATCATTTAACCGTTCTGGCGGCACTTATCTGACGCTACTTAATTCGATGCTTGAAGAGGATACTATAGCAGAGTACTAGTTGCAACAACAAGAACAAGGTGAACAAGAACTGGAGCAAGTAGGTCAACTAGATGAGTTGCAACAAGAACTACAAGGTTTTCACAAAGCACAGCAGCTGGAGCAAGTAGGTCTTTTAGAGGCATCACACCAAGGAGGTTTTGCCCGAGGACACGAAGACGATACGCTTGCTCCTAAAGAGCACGGTCTTAAAGAGCAGGATGATGCAGCTAAAGAACAAGATATTACTAAAGAACAAGATATTTTTTTACTCGAAGATGAAGATAAAAAGCACGGTCTTCACGAGCAGGAAGATGCAGCAGCTTCTTTTAGTCCTTAGAAGCATCAGAAGAAGAGAGACAGGGGACAGGTCCAACGAAGAAGATGCCATTGACAGAACAACAACAACTGCTGCTCCTCCACGAGCCTCTCCTCCTCTCCACCTCCACGTAGATCCAACACTCCACCTCCGTCTAGAAGTACTCCATCATCGGCACGTATCAGAACGGGAAAAACCACAAGGGCACAACGACGGCGAAAACTACTAGAAGAGGAGGATCAAAAAATGACGATTTGCGACGTGCGTTGCCGTTGTAAGAACAGCACAACAAGAACATGTAATCTTCTACTTTGGAAGAAGAACTACGCAGTCGAGATATTAAGTATATATGTTGGTCTTCCTGATCCACCTCTTCGAACTCCTGTTACAAGACACAGCCCACTTCTTTATAGGATACAATATAGAAGTAGAACTTGCCTATATCATCTTCTTGTTGACGTGGCAGAGTGAAGTAAGTAGTTGCTTGTTTATTATATCTTGAAGCAGAGTTGTTCGAGTTGTCCTCGTGGTCCTATTCCTCTTCTTGCTGGTGTATTTTCTCCAACCCGTAGCAGAGTTCTCGTGGTCCTATTCCTCTTCTTGCTGGTGTATTATAATCTCCTCCAACCTGGTGGCAAAGATGGAGTTTTCTTTTTTCTAGTTAGGTCTGCTCCGCCACAAATATACATCACAATGAAAATAATGAACCAACAAAATTCAGAATTATCAGATTGCTATTGAACTTACTCCAGCTCCACCATTACATAGTGTCGTCCCCCGAAAACGAAACCCAAACACGACGTGAAGAAGAGCCCCTTCTTGTGACGATGTAAAGGTTGAAGCAAAAAGATTATTTCTGACCCCAGATCTTCTATTGTATACAACGGACGACATTAATTTTAGCAGTCGTCACATCAGACGCACATACTAGATAGGTCTATTAATCGTCCCACCACGTAACACGTTCTAAAAACACGAAAAATTTTTTATGAAATAAAGCAAGATGAAGAACTATGACTAGTAATATGTACTAACAAGAAGAAGATGAATGTTGTCTACTAGCTGATCATGAAGCAAGATGAAAGCAAACATAAGAATGTACTACTACGTTCTACCCCACCAAGATGAAGATGAAAAGACTTTTCCACCACATGATACTCGTCCTTCACATCAGGCACACAATACTCTTTCCTTCACATCAGGCTAAAGATGTCTGTCTGCAAGATGGCAGGCTCCAGAACAAGATTCACCGTAATAATTGTTGTGAGTTCTATTTCAAAAGTATGTTGAATGGGTGATGGAGGACCGTGTCAGAAGTGTCGTGAAGCTTCTTGCTAAGTGAACAGGGGAGCAGTTGTACATCTTCAAGAATGTCTTCGAATTTTGTCCGGCTACAGCTAAATCCATGGTTCATCTTTTGCATTTACGATCATCAATATGTGCTGCGCAAGATCCACACTGTCAACATCGGGTCGCAAATCATCGGAGGATCTTCATCTCATTTACTTAAGTCTATCTTCCTCTCCCTCTGATCCTAGCTGGTCTAGCGTGCTGGAACAAGTCGTGTGAAGAAATCACGAAGATGATCATGTGGTCTGCAGTCGTGGATGTTCGTGATGTGAACATCAAAGTACATGATCAAGCCTGGAAGATGATGATATCATGGGCGGGTGAGGCGTAAACGTAAAAATATTGATGTCATATTAGATAAGTATCAATATCTTTAATTATTCACAGGAGGACGACCAGTTGTATTTCCATCCCGGGACGACCAAAGTGTAGTTCTTAGAGGTCATTTCCTTGCACGACGTGAGCGTGACCACCACTACTAAAGAATAGATCTAAGAATCTTTTTAAGTAGATACTTGTTCTGGTGATATTAGTTTTAGGTACTTGTTCTTTTTTCATCCAACTCCAAGAAAGTGATGGCAAGTGTTGAGGAGATAGAGGCTGTGAATAACGAGCTCGAAGAGGGCTCGCTGCTTCCAGACACTGCTGAAGCTGAAGGCGGTGCGAAGAAAAACAAGAAGAAGAAGAGAAAGAAAAACAACAAATCTCAAGTAGTCGCTTCACCTTCTTTTGTGGAACATGGTCCGGGAGTGAAGCTTATCGTAGTGAACAAGAACTCCAAATGCAATAAATCTTCCGAGAAAGGTCAAACTTCCGAGAAGGATCAAACTTCCTCTACTAGCACTCTGGAATTCGACGAATGGGCGCGCAATGCTCTTGGCGACACACTTCTTCAGTCTGCAGAGGATGCAGCCAAGACGGCTTGGGAAGCACCAGGTCGAATAAAACGGCGCCAGAAAACCTACGTTTTTTCCGGAGAGCTGAGGCCCGCAACGGTGACCCAGCAGTCGCGGGTCTTTCACGAGAAATATCCTAACATAGAGCGACCCGATTACGCTGATCATCCTGAGGGCCACTGCCTCAGCGAACAAGCGTGGCCCGAGAACAGGATACACGTGTACGAGGGGTCGGAGTTGGAAATAATGCGAGAGGCGTGTCGGATTGGGAGAGAAGTTCTAGACATCACGTCGAGGTACGCCTACGAAGGCGTCACGGGAGACCAGCTAGACAAAATCCTAACACAAGCCTGCATCGATCGAGAAGTCTACCCCTCGCCATTAAACTACTACCGCTTCCCGAAAAGCGTTTGCACATCGGTGAATTTAAGGTCCCCGCTTGGTCTTTTCACATTATATCACAGAACTAGTTCTTGTACCAAGTAAAAGTCTGCATTATTTAATGCTTATAAAATATGATCTACTCCTGATAGAAGGTAGATGAATTGCGTGCCGTTTTTAAGAACATCATGATAGAAGTGATGGTTTCTGCTTGTTGTGTAGGATCATTTGTTCAAGTGACTTCAAACTCTCGTGGACCACTAGTCTAGTGACTGGAACCTCTTCTAATCCTCGAAGTAATTTGCCACGGCATCCCTGATATGCGGCCTTTGCGAGCCGGCGATATCGTGAATTTGGACGTGTCGATTTATCACAAAGGCTTCCATTCCGATCTAAATGAGACCTTTTTCGTCGGAAAACCTCCGCGGGAAGAAAGTAGTGGAGGACAAGCACCCGCTCAAGCGCAAGGACAAGCACTTCAAGCAGAAGCAGAAGCTGTTGGAGGAGATGTTGAGATGAAAGTTGTCGAAGATTCAACTTCAACATCACCTGTTCTAGATCTAGTAGGTGATGAGAACATAACTTTAAGGCTGTGTGTACCTAATAGACATCTTTGGACGCTGCTGCATCCTTGATGAAGAAATGTATGGACGAGGAGTATCGTCCTAAGGGAATACATCCCCGTACTCTTCAACAAGGATGCACTTGAAAGATGAACTACCGTAAACAGCTCTAATTCTAATAACTACAACAAGTACAACAACTCTCCAGCAAGAAGCTCCTACAGTATGGACGGGAGACACAGAAAGAGTGGTGCGAACGGCTTACGAGAGTTTGGTGGCGGCAGCGAAGATGATAAAACCGGGTTGTCTCTATCGCAGTGTTGGAGGAACGATACAGAAAGTCGCGGAAGGAAACGGATGCAGTGTGGTGACTAGCTATTGCGGTCACGGAGTTGGCAAATTATTCCACGGTCCGCCACAGGTACTCATACTACAGATCAACATGATATTCTGCAGATGATATTCATGATATAACGAGAAATAAAACGAGAAAAGCCAAAGTAAAAGTATTCATATGCTTATCAATCTATCATCCATTTACTACGAAAATAGTTCTAGTAAGAAACCATCTACTACTCCTCAATCCACCCGCACCACGACTAGTACTTAGAGGTAGGTTTTTGGTGCTCGCTTTCCCCGCTTGTTATGCCTTTCTCCCTTAGGAGAGGCATAAAAAGCGGTAAGAAGAGCACCTTTAGCCTACCCTTAAGATATGATCCACCTACAACAATAGATACTCGACCAACATTTGCTTCAACTTCTAGGTCCCGCACTATCGTGGTAGCAAAACACCTGGAATCATGAAAGCGGGTCATATTTTTACCATTGAGCCCATGATCAACCTCGGTGCGAACAATAGCCAGGATGGCATGTGGCCTGACGATTGGACCGCAGTGACCATGAATGGAGCTCTCTCAGCCCAATTTGAGCATACTTTCCTTGTTACCGAGAACGGATATGAGTGTCTGACCCTAAGTCGCCAGGACATCCTCCTAGCAGAACAGAAGAAGAAGAAAGGGGCTGCGGCAAGTAGCAAACACATGCCAGAATGGGAAGATATTGAGCCAAGACTCAGACGCTGTGCAGGTCGAGATTTGCAGGAGGAAGTTACGTCTACCAAAAAGTAAAACCCCAGCCAGGTGGTGGATATTGAGTTCTTGATTGAATGAAGAGACAGATAGTTGCTGTGCACGCAAGTGATTGAAGTTGCTGTGCACGACGCAAGTGATTGAATGAAGAGACAGATAGAAGCTGACATAGAAAACATTTCATGAGCTCCACCTACTTCATTGAGATCTGCATCTGGATCTGCGTTGATAATAGATTGACAATGACACTGGCGCTTCATCATAAAATAGTGAAGACTTATAAATATTGATGCGCGGAGTAGCTACTACTCGTTGCATGTCTCGTTCAGCCTACTGTTCCTCGCTACGCATACGTATCCACGTATCTACAATATATCTATTTGAACAAGAAACTCAGCGTCGTCCTGCTCGTGTAGTTCTTCGTTTGTTTCTACTGTTCGATGTGTGAACAGTGAAGATGCAACAACTAGCTACCCTGTTCATGACCTGGGTGAAGCTCTCAATAAGAATAAGTTTGTTTGTTTTTTCTCAACTACCAGAAGATCAGGGACTTCAACGGACAACTTGTTTACTTTCATTCATGTTTTTTCGTCTTCATGCGAAGTCAGAGTCTAGTCAAGGAAGAAAAGATCGGAAGAAAGTTCATCCGGTTCTGATCTATCTCTCGTTTTTTGAGCAGAAGATGCGGCGACTAAGACTGCTGCTGCAACTCTGTTTATTCGTCGAGAGAGATGATCACGTTCACGACTAAGAGTAGAAACTCTGTAGTTTTCTGCTGCAACTCTACTGTTTATTCGTCGAGAGAGATGATCACGTCCACGACTAAGAGTAGAAACTCTGTAGTTTTCTGCTGCAACTCTACTGTTTATTCGACGTCGAGAGAGATGATCACGTTCTTCACGACTAAGAGAAGAAAGAAACTCTGTAGTTTTTGTTTTCTGATGAAGATCGGTTTTTCGATTTTTCGAGAGATGGAAGGCAGCATGAGGATCTTGTACTCTGTCAAGCAAAAAATCATTAGAGCCAAGACTGAATGGTTCCGGTATTTGGTAACCTGAATTTGATCATAAGGGAAAACAAGAAGAGAACCCTTAGGATCAAACTCAGGTTACCAAATACCAGAACCATACAACGACACTAGTCACCTGTCATCTGCGAGTGTCACGCAAGTAGTGACAGTCGCAACGATTAGGAATGGAATTTGTATCGACCTTACGTCCATCGTCGTCATTCGCTCCACCCTCGACATGTCCTTTTACCAACGAACGACCCTCAGGAAATACATCATTCTTGTCCCCAACGACCCCTGCTCCAACAAGATAAATTTCAAAAAATTTACCAGCACCTGAATAATTTCCAAGAAATTCCTCTTCACTAACCTCATGATGGAACCTCATGATTTAGTTACTGCACCAACTTACTTCCTACAACTACACCATCAACCAAGTTGACTGTTCTAGCTTCTTAGAAAATAGGACATCAAGTTACAGTTGAAGTTTTCTGCCTGGTAGAAAAAAAAAAGAAGATTATTAGTCGTGTTATAGGAGTTTGAATTACAGACTTCATCTATTCTTGATC